AACTTTTGTGAACAATTATTATAAAACAATTTATGAATATTTTTTGCAAACATTTTTATTATAAAAAAAATAATTTTATAAATATATATGATGAAACAAATTATTTTAAGTGTTTATTTTTTACAAAAATATATAAATTATTTATTAAATTATATCGTATCTTCCCTCTATTAACTTGAAGTCTCGAAATGGGAAAATTTGGAACAAATTATATGTATAATACTATATATATTATATAATATAAAAGAATAATAAAATCTTTAAAAAAATATTTAATACAAACAAATTCTATTCAAAAATTCCATACAAAATGTCTCGTACGCAAATAAGTAATTACATAAGTACGGAAGATAACACGTAAGACGATAAGCAACCCATTTAAAAGATGTATCTTTATTACCGTAATTATTAGTGTATTTTCCCTTCCCTTTCATATGGTTCATTCATGCTTCCATGACATGTTTCTTCGTGGGTGGACTATATAAACGTGTTTATTTCTGTTCCTCATTCTTTTGTGTCTCGCAGGAGCTCTTACATAAACATCGCGTATAATGTTCTGATTATTTATTTTAGTAAATTGTGTTTCGAATTGTTAAAAAAATCGTGTCCTTTTTGTGTTACAAATTATATAATTTTTCACTGGGTCTTTATTTTATTTTTACTTTATTGCATTTTTTTTTTTATTTACTTTCGCCGAAAATGCGTCATTTTTCCATAATATCGATGATTATGTCTTTGCTACCCTTAATATTAACTATCGATTGTGTACTCGGTCTATATGAAACGGCACCTCATATTATTGTATTCATGGCTGATGATTTGGTAAGACTTGATAATATAATATTTTATTTATATTTTGATTACATGTATATATTTTTTTTCAATTACTTTTATTATAAATAATATATATAAATAATAATATATTTTCCATAAAATGTACAATACAAATGAAATAGAGATAAATATCAATATAAAGAGTACATAAAATCAGAAAATTTTTTACACAGAGTAATTATACATTGTAATAAATTTTTGAATTTAAAACGAATAAAAATTATTATTCGTTTATGTGAAAAAAATGAAAGTTTCTTTAAAAGAAGAGAAAGGCGAAAACAATTAAATTTTCCTAAATAAGTATTTTTCTTTTTTATTAAAAAAATTTTTATATTTATAGATTATAACAAAATGAATTAATAATTAATATACATAAATCAAAAGGAAAAAATTACAAAACTTGTGTATTTATGCGAAGTAGATCCGTTTCTACATTAGTTATGCTTGTCTACTTTGCTTAATTCGCTATGATTAATCTGTAGTATGAAAGCGGTTTGAATTAAAATTGTCCTTAGTTAAGGACAATTAGTGTTGCTCGAAAATTACCTACGCCTCCGCGTTTAACAAGGATGCTGGTGTTTGTGACTCACTCGTAACTGCAAAACAAAAATCTTCCTCTACCGCGATATATCCCTCTCCAATACTATATTATCATATTTTATTACATAATATCACACATAATCATTTGTTATCTTTTCCATAAGCATAACTTTTTAATATACTTGAAATTTTAAAAAAAAATCTGCACTTGCATTGATACTAATTGCTTTTTCAAATGTATCCATAATTCATAAATGATATGATATGATATGATGAAGCATTGAGAGAAAACGAAAAATTATTTTTGACAGAAAAAGCAATTGCGGAAACTTGTATACATTTACATACGTACGCATGTATCTAATTCGATAATATTCATATTTTAAGAAAAACAAATTGAAAAGTAAATCATCTTTAACATCTTTAATAAAGAAACGTAATAGTTTCTTATATTCTATATATTATATATTATATAGATGTTCATTTTTTTTGAGAAAAAAAAAAGATCTTGTCAAAAGATTCGATACGATGTATACTTGTTGGACAATTAACAATTTTTTTTTTTTT